TGAGTTAGTAATAAGAATTAATATAAGACTATAGAAATGAAACTAGGCTAGGAAAGGAGATTAACCTCGCTACCCGTTCGCTAACTCTTAACGACAACGTAACCGTAAGAATAAAGACGGCGACACGTATATAACTAGCAAGATACAAGATAGGCCTAAGAACAAGAATAATACTTAAGGAAAGTTTAACGACGGCCTTTCTAAGGAAGAACGCTAGAAGCGTTATAATAATAAAGCATATCTCTAATGCGGGAAGTTAGGATACTTCCGTAGAGACTACCCGGAAAACGAAGTCAAGCAAGGAGTAGTAAAGATTAGGATAATTTAGATACCAACACTATACCCAACTAAGGAACTAGACGAAACCCTTAGCGATCTAGACCTATACAATAAAGCAAGATAAGCTATAGACGAAGCGTTTAAGCTAGTATAAGAGGCAATAGGACTCTAAGACTTTAAGTAGGACGCACTACTACCAACGGATTAGTAGATTAAAGGGGCCGAAGTGTTACGCCGCCTAAGAAATTAATAGTGCTAGATTTGCGGACTTACTACGCACTTAGCTAACGATTATAACTATGAAGGACGAATTATAGTCTTAGAATCCTAAGTAGAGAAAATTACCTGCTGGGCAGCCTAGAAACAACCTAGGTTTAAGGAACCTAATAATAAGGGGACACCTTAGTTATTTAAGGAATGAATAGAGCAACACGAGCGCCTATATTAGGTCGACTGTCCAAGATAGTATGATTACTACTTAAGGAAGAGAGAAAAGACTAGGGACAATAAGGATAATTGCTGCCATACTAATTTATAGCATAACAAATGTCGAGTATAGCATTGCTATATACACTAGCTAGGAGAAAAGGAAGCTTATAAGGAGCTATGCTGGATTAAGTGCACGATTAACTGCTAATTCTATAAGAAATAACGACGGAAAGCTAGAAGGGTAGACGACTGCTACTATAGTATAATATCCGCTAAGAAATATATAGTAAAGAACTGCAGAATGCATAGAGCCTAAGTACGGGACACACTAGAAGTAAAACATGCTAAACTTCTGTGGACGCATTATAAAACCAGATACGCCCTACACTAATAATAGTTTAAGAATGCTTAAAAGGTAGACGATTACTACTATAGCACTCTACTAGCGAACCTTTGTGAGGTAACGGATTGCCTGATTTATAAAAGTAAGAAGCTGGAACTAAGGGAAAGGACTGCGAAGAAGGAGATACTATACTATAACATCTATTAGAGCTTTTACTATAATGATTAATGTACCGATTACTATAACGCTAAAATCGGCGCGGGACGGTTTCCTAAGGAACGGAGGAAGTTGTAGAAAGAACGACTCTCTAAGCTAAAAAACTAGGATGCTGCTAGGGATAGAGTTACGCTAGCAAAGGTAGTCCTAAAACGACTCTTAAAGAAGTGCGAGAAGTGGGAGCGTAAGACCTGTAGCTACGAGCCACAGTACTTATAGACGGATATAAGGTACTAGCGCTTATAGATAGTGGGGTAGTACGAACCGTTATCTTACTACGAGTGGTGGAAGACAACGACATACCCTATTAAACTAAGAAAGTTCCAATGCGAGTAGTATTAGCTAACGATAGTCCTACGATATATAGGAACGGCTAGATTCGACTTAAGACTAAGGTAGTAACGTTACGCCTAGCTAGTTAAGAAAGCTGAGAAAGAATTAGCATTATAGATCTAGGAGATACTAAGATAATAATTAGCTATAATTAGTTACTAAAGTATAACTCTGCCATAGATTAGCAAAAGAAAATAATACTTAGTAGAGAACCTATATATAAGGTTACTAGAGTACGATACGAGACACGCCCAACAAATTAGCGCGCAACCTAGAATAGAAGATTTGGTATAATCTTACCGCATAAGATCGCGAGAATCTATGCGAAGGACTCTTAGAGTATAGGAGTTATTTAGATATGGTAGATTGCGACCACGAAGGAAGGATTAGTACTATAGTTAGCGATTCTAATAGAATACTAGACAGACGAGTTCAGGGAACTATTTGAGGAAAACGAAGTAATAGACTTAGTAGAACACTAGGATTAGGATCATGAGATTATCCTAGAGGAAGGAGTGAAGTTAAGCCTAAGAGGAATGTACCCTATAGCGCCTGAGCACGATGCTAAGCTACGGGATTACTTCTAAAAGAACTTAAAAAAGGGATTTATCCGACTAGGATTAGGTCTAATGGCCTCACCTATTTTATTCGTAAAGAAGCCTAACGGGAAGTGGCGACTATATGTTAACTTTAGGAGGTTGAATAGCGTTACTTAGAAGAACTAGTACCTCTTACTACTTATTACAGAACTTATAGATTAACTCTAGAGAGCTAAGTAGTTTACGAAGTTTAATATTTAGGAAGGATTTTACTAAATTAGAATTAAAGAAGGTTACGAATAGATAACAGCGTTTAAAACGAAGTACGGACTCTTTAAGTATATAGTTATGCCGTTCAGATTAATGAATACGCTAGTAACCTTTTAATTAGTTATTAATAACGCACTCTACGAGTACCTTAGAATCTTTGTTACCGCGTATCTAGACGATGTACTAGTATACTCTAGCGGTACACGCGAAGAATATATTAAGTATATTAAGAAGGTTTTATAAAAGCTTAAAGAATATAAGCTATACTTTTAACTAGGAAAGTGTAAATTCCACATATAGGAAACGGAATTCCTTAGATTTATTATATTAACTAAAGGAGTAAAAATAAACCTAAAAAAGATATAGACTGTACAGGAATAGCTAAAGCTTAAAATAGTTAAAGATATTTAGTCCTTTTTAGGATTTGCGAATTATTATTAAAAGTTTATTAGAGATTATTTAAAGATTATAGTACCCTTTACGGAAGTAATAAAAAAGAAAATAGGTTTTAAATAGGAACAGGAACATTAAGAGGCTTTTAATTAAATTAAGTAGATATTTCTAGAGGTACTAGTACTCGAGATGTACAGCCCTTAACGACCTACTAGAGTTAAGACTGACGCGTCTGACTATGCACTTAGAGCTGTGCTGTTATAGCAGTGCCTAGATAAAAAATAGAGACTAGTGTTCTACTATTTACGAAAGTTCTTAGGAGTAGAACTTAATTACAATATTTATGATAAGGAACTACTTGGAGTAGTTAATGCCTTTAAATAATAGGAAGTATACCTGTTAGGACTCCCCGACCAGATTGAGGTTTTTACTAATTACTAGAACTTGACGAGTTTTATAATAACGAAAAAAACTTAACTAATGATAAGTGTAATAGGCAGAGATGCTAGCTTAGTTCGACTTTAAGATTACGTACCGCGCGGGAACGCTTAATAGAGTAGTAGACGCTTTAAGTAGGAGGTCTAATTTGCGCGAAGAGGTTTATAAGGAACTATATAACGCCTTACTTAAGAAGATGCCTAATAGTAGTCTGAAGTATAACTAGCTGGAACTAGCTAAAGTAGCTAAGGTGGCCGAGCAGATAGAAACGCTATAATAGTAATGGTAGCAGCGAGCAGCTAGCTGGCAGTTCGAGCCTAACGAAGTAGGCTCTAATAAACTATTGAACGACGAATGAGAGTACTAAGATATAGTTTTGAAGAATCGAATATATGTACCTCTATATATAAGATTAAGTCTTATATAGGAACTATACGAGTTCTAAGAGTATAGATATGCAGGAATTAAAGAAATAGTTAGACGACTAGCTAAGGTGTTTGTAATACTACGTATGCGTACGAAGGTGTAGGAAATACTAGGTAACTATTTAGTATATCACTAGAATAAGCTCAAGAGACATAAGCTCTACGGCCTATTATAACTTCTATAGCCACCGTCTAGACTATAGATAAGTGTAATAATAGACTTTATAGTAAAGCTCCTAAAATCGTTAGAACTAAGATTAGCCTAATTTTGCGACATAATCTTAGTAATTATAGACTAATTAACTAAGGTAGTAAAATTTATGCCTATAGAAGAGACTATTATAGTAGACAAATGCGCGTACAAAGTTACTAAAGCATTAGTATTAGAGCACGGAATACCTAAAGAGTTCATTACTAATCGTAATAAACTATTTACGTCTAAATACTAGAATATATTTCTAGCAAGGATAGGTGTTAAAAAGAAGCTTTTAATAAGCTTTCACCCCGAAATAGATGGCTAGACGGAACGAACGAACTAGATATTAGAATAGTACCTACAGATATACGCTAATAAATTATAGAATAACTAGGTAGAGTTGCTACTAATAGCGTAATTGGCCTACAACAGTACAAAATCAGTAATAATAAAGCATTCACCATACTACGCGAACTACGGATACGAGCTAATTACTTAGCAAGATCTGAAAGATATTAAAAGTATCGCGATAGAAGTAGACGATAAAGTAAGACTTATGCGAGAATTATATAAAGAATTAAGTAAGAATATAGCTTAACAAAACCTTACGACATCCAAAACAGCGAATAAACTAAGAATTAAGAGACTAACCTTTAAGAAGAGGGATAAAGTTTTCTTATTACGATAAAACCTGAAAACTAAATAACTATATAGAAAATTAGATAACCTCCAAATAGGACTATTTAAAATTCTAGAGGAAATAAGAAAAGTAAACTATAAGTTAAAACTCCTATAAGGTATACAAATCCACCCTATCTTTTATAAAAAACTCCTAGAACTAGTATCTGTAAAGGGCTGCGCCCGTGATCTCTACTGAAGAGGATCACGTGATCTTCGACCACGTGATATACCTTCTGTACGGACACGTGATCAGAAGCGAGCAGGTATAAGAGAAGTCTGTACTTAGTTATCTTCTCTTTTTCTTATCTTTTAGCTTCTGTACGATAGGTAGAAGCATACTCATTCGCTAGGCCTCTCCGCCCATAACATAAGCTAAAAGATCACTTTAACCCTTCTTACTCTTTTCTCTCGTACGGAGCGAGAGAGAATTGAGAATGCAAAACGAACAAGATATAACGATGGGGCTACATGAGCCTATGCCAAACCCAGAACCTAGTAACGCCCCGCCAAGGCCTCCGACGTACGAGGAGCTCGCAGAAAGCTGGAGCCAACTTAATGCAACGAATAATCTACTCCGACGAAACCTAGACCAAATGGCTATAAGACTTAAGGACGCTGAAGGCGTACGAGAAGAACTCCAAGAGATGAAAGCCCTTTTACCTCCGTACGGCACGAGGGG